AAGGATCTTTGTGATTACACTGGGGCCACCTGGATAATCCAACATAATCTCCTCATTTTGAGAACCTTAATTTAGTCACATCTGTGAAGTACCTTTTGTCATGTAAAAGATTCCATAGATTAGGTTGTAGACATCTTTAGGGGACTATTATTCTGTCTACCACAAAATGTGATTTTACTTTTTATTTTCTATCTGCATCTTCTAATTTTATGTAATGTACATGAATTGCTTGAAATGTGTAAATTAAATATAGAGAATATTAAACTGGGCATGGTGGCATACTCTGTAATTCCAGCGATTCAGGAGGCTAAGGCAGGAGGATCACAAGCTTTATTCTACTCTGGGAATTTAGCTAGACCCTGTCTCAGAAAAAAAAGGAAAAAAAAAGGATAGGGAATATTAAAGTTTAATATCAAGTGACATAACTTTTATCTAGATTAATGTGCAGCTTAAGTATCATATCCCGTCACTTATTTTCTTACCTTTTTGTTATACTAAATCAGAAATTCTATTTCACCTTATATCTTGCCAGACATGGTCACAACTTTTTGGTCAGAGACTTCTGTAAGTTTGATCAAATGGGGACCCATAAGTTGAGAACTAATTCCTAAAATCAGCATTGTCCCAGACACTAGATGAAATATCATATTCAAATCATGCAAATTTCAATGTTTTACCTTAGGAGAGTGGTTGTCACTGGGGGGCAGCACCAGCCAGGGGTGTGCTTTGAGAACATGGGAGCTATTTTGGTCATTACAGATCTCCTAGCAGGGATCTCCTGGCATTTACAAGGCAGAAGTCAAGAATGTCGTGTGTCCTTCAATGCACACAACATTCCTGCAAGGAAAACTTTTCCTACATTTTACATAATTTTCAAATATCCCTAGACATTTATATATATGAAAAACCTATTTGTGATTATCTGAACTTAAACCTAACCTCATTTTACATGTAAACCCAAAGTCCTTGTTTTCTTTATATAAAATTTATTTTTTAAAATATGGAGTGCTGCTGGATGGGATGGCACACGCCTATAATCCCAGTGGTTTGGGAGGCTAAGGCAAGAGGATCGTGAGTTCAAAGCCAGCCTTAGCAACTTAGTGAAACCCTGTCTCAAAATAAAAAAAGATACAGTGGACTGGGGATGTGGCTAAGCACTCCTGGGTTCAATCCCTGGTACCAATAAAAAAGTAAACAAACAAATTAATTAATTAATTAATTAAGTAAAATATGGAGTGCTTTCACAAATTTCATGCCATTCTAGTGTAGGGGCCACCCTTAGCTTTTTGGATAATTCCAGTTTTAGTATATTGCTGCTGAAGCAAGCATAACTTAAAATATTTTTTGCATGGTTTTAATATACATGGAATTTTCCAGGAACAGAACTACTATGTAAATCGAAAGGAGTGTATGTTTTATTTGGAACCCTCCCAAGAATGGCTTAATGTTTTAGAAAACCACACCAATGACGTCCATGCCATTTATGGGTTATATTGGATATCTTCCATTCGCCCTTCCAGACTCTCTCTACCCTTCTTTACCTGCTGTGTGCCCCAGGGAGGGGCTGTATCAGCAAGTTTCCTTGCCCCCAGCTTTTGAGAGGGGCCCCCTCAATGAGAAGCCTGGGCAGGAGATTTGGAATATAGGAGAGTAAGGTATGCCACTTGAAATGACCATCAGGAGCTAGACTGAATGTGCATGGCAGTATTCGATTAGAAAATAATAATGAAGGGCTGGGGTGAAGCTCAGTGGTAGAGCGCTTGCCTAGCACACAGTGAGGCACTGGGTTTGATCCTCAGCACCACATAAAACAAAACAAACAAACAAACAAACAAACAAAAAAAACCAAAAACAAAAACAAGGGCTGGGGTTTTAGCTCAGTGGTAGAGCATTTGCCTATCATATGTGAGGCGCTGGGTTCAGTTATCAGCACCACATATAAATAAATAAAAGTCCATTGACGACTAAAAAATATTTAATAAAATAAAGTTATTGTGCCCATACACAACTGAAAATATTTTTTAATATTCATTTTTTAGTTTTCAGTGGACACAACATCTTTATTTTTTAATTTTTTTTTTTTTTTTTTTTTGTGGTGCTGAGGATCAAACCCAGCGCCACGCGCATGCCAGGCGAGTACACTGCTGCTTGAGCCACATCCCCAGCCCATACAACAAAAATATTTTTAAAAGAAAATAAGAATAAGACAGATAAGTTTGGGTATAAGCTGGTTGGAAGGCACAAGTAAACTGTGAAAATGTGGTTCAGATTCTCATTATACTTGCTCATATTGGTTTACTTCTTTAACTCACATTATGGCTTCCTGGAGAGCTCTCTTTGACTGGGCAATGGAGAAAAGGTACAGGCCTGGTTTATGCAGTTTTTTGGTACATCTGAAAGTGCATAGTAGCCAGGCATGATGGCTTATACCAGTTATACCAGCAACTCTAGAGGCTGAAGCAGGAGGATCACAAATTCAACGCCAGGCTCAGCAATGTAGTGAGGCCCTAAGCAACTTAGTGAGACCCCGTCTCAAAATAAAAATAAAAAGGGCTGGGGGTGGGGATATAGCTCAGTTGGTAGAGTGCTTGCCTTGAATGCAAAAGGCCCTGGGTTCGATCACCCCCCCCCCCACACACACACACACTAATTCCTTTTATTCACACACACACACAAAGGGCTGGGGATATAGCTTAGAGAAAAAGAAAAAAAAACAATAAAATTTCATGGTAGCTGCTTTCTAGCCTCTGAAAGGCAGTGGTGAAGGAAAATATTCATAGGGGTAAAACAGTGTATCTTGTTCACTTTATGTGGAAAAAAAAGATCTATTTTGTCTCTGGGCATAATATTGTTGGGGGATGGAATCCCCATGGTCTGGAGTGTCCCTGCTTGTTTTTGTTGTATATGCCAAGAACACAAGTCCCTAACTACTTTTTGCCGGGCCATTTCTCAGGGTTGCATTGCAAGGAGCTTCCTTGAGGGATGAGGCTATAACTCCTTTTGGGACAAAAAGCAAATTTGCTAAAAATGATGTGAATTCCTCAAGGCCAAATATTCCTTGTCTGTGATGAAAATGTGCACTAAGCTCACAGCATGTACAACTGAGCCTGTTGGCATGGCCCTGTGGAACTTGGAGTTAGGGAAATGAGGAAAATACAATGATAAATCAGGATGGCTTGCTATGCTGCTACAATCCATGAAATAAATAGATCCATAAAGGCTAACTTGTAGGTAGAGGGAAATCCCAGACCCCCCAAAATAATCATTATAAACTTCACAATTGATTTTGCAAGTCTTTAGACATTATGTGACTTGTACATGATTTCTCACCGAAGGGTGCAATTCTTAATTTTTCCTCTGTAGTTTTTATCCTTTAGGGAAAAATTTTGCCAATTTTTTGTTTGAGTGTCGTTTTCCCCACCTTTGTTCAGGCAAAACTCATTAGCGGAGGCATCACTGAGCATCTTTTTTTTTTTTTTTTTCTACTGGGGATTGAACTCAGGGGCACTCAGCCACTGAGCCACATTCCCAGCCCTATTTTGTATTTTATTTAAAGACTGGATCTCACTGAGTTGCTTAGTGCCTCACCTTTGCTGAGGCTGGCTTTGAACTAACTCTCAATCCTCCTGCCTCAGCCTCCCGAGCTGCTGGGATTACAGGCATGTGCCATCACACCCGGCTGTTCCCAGCCTTTTTAAATTTTTTATTTTGAGTCAGGGCCTCATAAGTTGGCCAAGGCTGGCCCCAGCCTTGAACTTGTGATCCTCCTGAGTAGCTGGAATGACAGGCGTGTACCTCTGCACCTGGGGATGTCTCCATATTCTAAAAGCGTATGAGTTTTCTTTAGTAGCCAAGTGAATTGAAAATTTATGTGCTCACAAAAACTTGTATGCAAATGTTTGTAGCAGCCTTATTCATCAAAAACTAGCAACAAGGCTGGCTGCGGTGATGCATTCCTGTAATCCCAGTGGCTCCAGAGGCTGAAACAGGAGGATCAAGAGTTCAAAGCCAGCCTCAGCAAGGGTGAGGCACTAAGCAACTCAGTGAGACCCTGTCTCTAAATAAAACACAAAATAGGGCTGGGGATGTGGCTCAGTGGTCGAGTGCCCCTGAGTTCAATCCTTGCTACTAAAAACAACAACAACAACAACAACAAAAAAAAAAACTAGCAACAACCAAGATGTCCTTCAATAAGTGAACGGATAAATAATTTGTGGTACTGTATATGATGGAAAATTACAGGTTCGAAATAAGAAAGAAAGGTCTGGGGGCTGGGATTGTGGCTCAGTAGTATAATGCTCACCTAGCATGCATGAGGCAGTGGGTTTGAGCCTCAGCACAACATAAAAATTAAATAAAGATATTGTGTCCACCTAAAACTAAAAAGTAAATATTAAAAAAAGAAAGAAAGGTATATTGGTTCTCTCAACAGTTAGGGCAAATCTTTTATTATTATTATTATTTTATATTTTTAGTTATAGATAGACACAATATCTTTATTTTGTTTATTTATTTTTTATGTGGTGTTAAGTATCGAACCCAGTTCCTCACACATGTGAGGCAAGCACTTTATTGCTGAGCCACAACCCCAGCCCCAAGGCAAATATTTTCTATTTTCAATTGTAAAATATGTATAACTATTGGGTTCTGTGACCTACACCTATAATTCCAGCTAGTTGGGAGGCTGAAGTAGGAGGATCACAAATTTGAGGCCAGCCTCAGCAATTTATCGAGAGCCTGTCTCAAAAAATAGAAAGGGCTTGCAACGAAGCACCTATGGATTCAATCCCCAGTACCTCAAAAAATAAATAAAATCAAATATGTATAACATAAATGTGGATGAACTTTAAATGTGTTTTGCCAAGTGAAAGAAGCCAGAACCCAAAGTTCCAAAAATATTGTATGATTCCTTGAATATGATATCTTGAAAAAGGTAAGACTATAGGGATGTGCTTTAGTTTCCTATTGCTGCAGTAACAAATTAGCACAAATTTAGTGGCTTACATCAACACAAATTTATTCCCTTATTGTTCTGGAGGCCAGAAGTCCAAGATTAGTTTCACTAGGCTAAAATCAAGGTGTTGGCAGAGCTGGCTCTTTCTGGAGGCTGGGGGGGGGTCTTTTCTTTGCCTTTTTAGTTTTTGGAGGTCATGTGCATTCCTTAGTTTTTGACTCCTTCCTTACATCACTCCAACTTCTTGTTTTTACTCTCACATCTCCTGCTACTTTCTTTGATCTTCTTGCTGCCCTCTTTTAAGGATCCTTGTTCTTACATTTAGGGGGTCACCTTAATAATCCAGGATAACATCTTCTCAAGATTCTTAATATAATCACATCTGTAAACTCCCTTTACCATATAGGGTAGCATTCACTGGTTTCTGAGAGTTGAACATGGATGTCTTTTGTGGAGTTATTTTTCATTCTAGAATAGGACTGAAAACAGAACAATGGTTACAAGGGGTTGGGGGAGAAAAGGGAGGTTGAGGACATAATGGACCGCACAAGGTTATGGTGTATACATTACTCTAAGATTGTCAAAATCCATAGAAGTATACATTAACAAGAGTGAATATTATTGTATGAAATTGAAAAACAAATCAACCTGGATGCCAGTGATCAGAGGATGGAATGCAAGTGGTAACAAAAGAACTTAATTGTACTTGGAAGACATTATGTTACATGAAATAAACCAGGCACAGAAAGACAAATACCTCATGATCTCACTTACATGTGGAATCTAAAAACATTGAACTGGTAGAAGCAGAGGCTAGAATGGTGGTTACCAGAGGCTGGGGGTAGAGTAGGGGCGATATTGGTCAAAGGATACAGAATCTGTTAAATTGAAGGAATAAATTCAAAAGATTTATTGTACAATACGGAAATTATAGTGAATAACAATATATTATACCCTTGAAAATTATTGAGAGTAGATTTTGAGTGTTTTCAGTATAAAAAACATAAGAATGTGAGATTAGGATACATGTTAATTTGCATATGTTAATCATCTCCACTTAACTATTCCACAATGTCTATATATTTCTATTTATTTATTTGTTTATTTTTGTTTGTTTTTCTTTCTCTCTCTTTATTTTTTGGGGGTACTGGGGATTGAACTCAGGGGCACTTGACCACTGAGCCACATCCCCAGCCCTATTTTGTGTTTTATTTAGAGACAGGGTCTCACTGAGTTGCTTAGTGCCTTACCATTGCTGAGGCTGGCTTTGAACTTGTGATCCTCCTGTCTCAGCATCCCAGCCTCTGGGATTACAGGCATGTGTTGCTGTGCTCGGCTTTTTGTTTTTCTTATTTGTTTCTCTCTTTAATGTATACATTTTGTTTCTTCTTCTTCTTCTTCTTCTTCTTCTTCTTCTTCTTCTTCTTCTTCTTCTTCTGTACTGGGGATTGAATCCAGGGGCACTTAATCACTGAACCACATACCTAGTCCCTTTTATTATTTATTTTAAAATGTTTTTTAGTTGTTGATAGACCTTTATTTTATTTATGTATTTATATGTGGTGCTAAGAATCAAACCCAATGCTTCACAGAAGCCAGGCAAGTGCACTATCGCTGAGCCCCAGCCCCAGCCTCCTAGCCCCTTTTATTTTGAGACAGGTTCTCTCTAAACTGCTTTGGACCTCACTAAATGGCTGAGGCTGGCCTTGAACTTGTGATCTTCCTGTTTCAGCCTCCCGAGTATCTGGGATTACAAGTGTGTGCCACTGTGCCTGGCTTAATGTATGCATATTTCAAAACATGTTGTATGTAACATATGCAATTTTCATTTGTCAATTAAATAATAGAATTATTATTTTTTAATTGAATTTATTAAAATGTATGATATAACTATTGAAGAGGGTGGGAGAAGAGTTGTGGATTAAATAACTTTGAAAAAAGTGTTCTTCCTAGATAGTATAAGACTACAGACAAGGATTGGGGTTGTGGCTTAGTGATAGAGCGCTCACACAGCATGTGCAAGGCACTGGGTTCAATTCTCAGCACCACATTAAAAAATGAATAAATAAATAAAATAAAGATATTATGTCCATCTACAACTAAAAAAAGTTTTAAAAAAAGACTACGGACAAAAACAAGTGCACATAGACACCATCCTCTAGTTGGGAGATAGATATGGGAACATAGATATGTATATCTAATAAGTTAGCATATGTACATGTATTTCCTAGCTCTGCAGTGACACTCCAGCTGCAATGAACAAGTTTCAAAGATTGGCAACTTTCTTTAATTGAATTAAAGGGGCCTGACTTTAATTGAATTATACTGTGAAGTAATTTATGTACTGTGGCAACATCAACAACATAGAGCAGGAGCTGGGGTTGTAGCTCAGTTGTAGAGTGCTTGCCTAGTACATGTGAGGCCCTGAGTTCAATCCTCAGCACCACATAAAAATAAATAAATAAAGGTATTGTGTCCGTCTGCAACTAAAAAAATATTTAAAAAAATATAGAACAATCAGCTAGATTTAGTAGATGCTAATGGCTGGATATGACACCATTAGAGGTAAACCAGATAGAAGCTTAACAGCAAAATAGTCAGAGAGCCCAGCTATAACCACTATCAAGACCCTGAAAGTCATGGAGATGATATATGTGTCCAAGGTTGTGTCCTCTGAGGAAGACATCAGAGGCTCCACATTTTGTGGGAACCCAGACTTTACTAACTTAGTCCAGTTCAGTTATTAAACAAATGATAAGCAAATAAGTCCTAGAGGTGTGTGTGGGGGAGTCAATCTCTAGATTTACTACAATCTAGTCTCTAAAATTTCCAGTTTTCTTTTTTTTAATATTTATTTTTTAGTTTTAGGTGGATACAATATCTTTATTTTTACATTTATTTGGTGCTGAGGATTGAACCCAGTGCCTCGTGCATGCTAGGCAAGCACTCTACCCCTGAACCACAATCCCAGCCCCAAATGTTCAGTTTTCAACAAAAAGTTACAGTTAGGTGTGGTGTGGTGGAACATACCTGTAATTCCAGCACCTCAGGAGGCTGAGGCAGGATGATTGCATGTTTGAAACCAGTATTAGCAATTTAGTGAGGCCCTGTCTCAAAATAAAAATAAAAAGGGCTAGGGATGTAGCTTAGTTATGCCCCTAGGTTAAATCCTCCCCCTCAAAAAAAAAAAAAAAAAAAAAAAAAGGAACTGGGAACGTAGTACAGTGGTGGCATGCTTGTCTAGCAAGCAAGGGACCCTGGGTTTGATCTTTGGTATTGCAAGCTGATATTCCGAGCTGGCAGAAGAAAGAATCAGTGAACCTGAATGTCAATAGAGATTATGCAATCTTAAGAACAGAGTGAAAAAAGTATGATGAAAAAGTTAACAGCTTCACAGAAATGTGGGATCCCATTATATATAATTGCAATACCAGGAAGAGAGAATTAGAGAAAGGAGAAGAAAAAATCTTTGAAGAAAGAATGGTTAAAACCCCCCAAACAGGGGCTCGGTGGTAGAGCACTTGCCTGACATCTGTGAGGCTCTGACATCCGTGAGGCTCTGACATCCGTGAGGCTCTGGGTTTGATCCTCAGCACCACATAACAGTAAAATAAAGGTATTATGTCCACCTACAACTATATATATATCAAAACAATGTTGAAAGAAATTAAAAAAGACTCAAGTACATGAAAAGATTACCCATCTTCTGGAATCAGAACCATTCACAGCACAAACTCAGGAGATCAAGCTGCCTAGGCTCTATCCTGGCTCTTAGATAAGTTATTAAACCTTTCTGGACTTCAATTTTCTCATCTATAAAATAAGGACAATAGAAATTCTTTTTTATTTTGTAAATGAATGACAATGTATGTATAAATCACTTAGAACAGTGCCTGTTGTATCTATGTTTAATACTGGTTAGCTACTGTGAAACAGTGAAAGACAATTTGTCAGAATGTATTAATCTTGAGTTACAACCTTTTTATTTAAAGTATTTTTTAGTTGTAAATGGACACAGTATTTTTGTTTTATGTATTTATGTTTTTGTGGTGCTGAGGATTGAACCCAGTGCCTCACATGTACAAGGCAAGCTCTCTACCACTGAACTTCAACCCCAGCCCCTTCAGTTATAATCTTTTTCTCCATCAAGTCCAGCTGTTGCTCCATTTTCTTTTTTGGTATTGGGGATTGAACCCCAGGGGTACTTTACCACTGAGCTACATCCCTAGTCCCACCTATTTTATTTTGAGACGGGATCTTGCTAAATTACTTAGGGTTTCACTAAGTTGCTGAGACTGGCCTGAAACTTGCAATCCTCCTGCCTTAGCCTCTTGAGTTGTTGGGATTACAGGTGTGTGCCACTGAGCCTAGCTGTTGCTAATTTTCTTCTTAAAGCTAATGTTGCAGCCTCTCTCTTCTCTCTATAGAGAGATGGTCTTTATCAGTTAGCGTTGACAAATAAACTTTCATGTGGATCTCTTAAAAAAAAAAAAAAGCTAATGTTGCAGAGAATTCTGAAAGCAAACTGGCTCTGTTCGTTTACAGAGGATCAGTTAAGGGCTGTGGAGTTTGTACCCTGGCTCCCCCACCTACTGGATATGTGACCTTGGGCAAACTACTTGACTTCTAATCTTTACTGTCATCATGTGTAATGTGGGGGCAACTCACGGGCCCTCTCTGTCATGCACCCTTTGTGTTTGTTGCCCAAACCATCCTTTCTCCCTTTTGTTTGTTTCTCATTCCAACCTTTTAATTCTGGTGGCATTTCCAATCATAGCCTGGTGGCCAACAAGTGTGAGCACATAGTATGAAGACAACTGGCCAGCACTGCCTTTTTGTTGGGCTGCTGGGGGGATTGAATGAGAATTCCCAGGAAGCACCCAGCAGTGTGCCAAACCCAAGGCCAGCGCTTAGGAAAGGATGATTTTCTCGTCTTAATCATTGTAGGAGTTTTTCCTTTTGTAGTAAAAACTTGTTGCTGAACGTGTCTAGGTGTAGGGAGTTAATTCTCCCTGAAATGTGGTAAGTTCTTTCAGTTTGCAGATAAAGATCTTTCTCAAGCTTGGGAAAATCTTTCTTTAAAATATGTCACTGTTGTTTCCCTTGGCTGGAACAGCAAGTACTGTTATCTGTACACTGGTGCTTCGTTCTCTGCGTTCTCTGCTCTCTGGATATCTCATCTCAGAATTTTCTCTCCCCCACCTCTGAATGTTGGAGCTCCTGGGGGCTGACCTTGGGCAAAAGTTGTAATCCTAAGAGAAGTTGACTCCTTGTGCTGCTCCCAACCTTCCTGGGCCATATCAGGCACAGGGGAGGAATCTTAGCCATTGGCCTCCAAAAGCCCAGCCTCTTCCTACAGGCCACCTGAGGGAACGGGTTTCTGCCATTTCCCAGCCCCTGTTGTCTCCCTAGCAGCAGTGCTGGCAAGGACATGCAGTGTGTGACTTACCAGTGACTCAGACTCTGCGAAGCTGGCTGGAGAAGCAAAGCTCTGCAGAATCCCAGAACCCCCTCTGCTCAGAGGAGCAGCGTCCAACAGTATCACATGAGAGACTCTCAAGTCCTTGTCCTGAACCCACTGAATGGGAATAAGCATTTGCACTGCATCCCCAGGAGATTTGTATGCACATCAAAGTTTGAGAAGCTCTGCTCCAGAGCACAGGCTCGGTTTAACCCTTTGATTCACAGTCCATTTTTTTCTACCCACCAAGTCATTCTTTACAGTAAAAAAACCCAAACTCCTCACCAGATCAGATCTTGTAACACTCTCTCTTTATTACTAACTTCATTTTCATGTGAATTTTCCCTTATATGATGATATCACCAAAAGTGGGGGCTCTGTTGCCAGGCACCTAGAAATCTTGTATGCACAATTCAGACTACACTGAAACTTTAATTTTACTCAGTCAGACTCCTGCTGTGTCCTTGGCTTGCCTCACCTTTGCGAGAATTACAAAACTTTCCACAGTTCTGCCAGCTGCTTCTTCCTGTTTTGTTCTCAATTTGGGGTGTTTATTTCTTTTGCTTGATGTCTGTGTGCTAAAAGAAATAAATAAGCAGAAAACATTTGTGGTTCATTCAAGCACAGGGCACAATCCAAATGTGTTCCATATGATATTCTCTGACTAGGAATTCCTATGTCCTGTTATTGGTGAGTATATTTTTGCCTTAAAGTGTAATGTTGAATTACAAGTTCTTTTAGTATATTAATTTTTTTTGGGGGGGAGTCATTATGGGATAAAAAAGGAACCTTTGTTCAAAAGGTGGTATAATTTTCAAGAGGTACTTTGGCAAAAGTTGTTAACTGAAGGGTCATTATGTAAGTTAGTTATTTATAATATTTTATGTTATACATATTATGTAAGCCTATGTTATTACAAATATGATTTGTGGAGTGATACCAGTCAATGAACTCTTTGTTACTCGTTTCTG